GAGAATCACAGTTCTAGGCCAGCCCAGGTAAAAGTTAGCAGGACCCTATCTCAAAAACAAGCCAAGTGTGGCAGCATAAGCATGTAGTCCCAGATAGTTGGGAGGTGGAGGTAGGAAGATCCTGATCTTAGGTGGCCATGGGAAAGAGCACCAGACCTCACCTGAAAAACAAAGTAGAAAAGGAAGCTCAAGGCCATGAGTGTAATCTCCAGTACCACCAAAATAAAAAGTAAAAATAAAGACAAGAAAGACAAAATATTTAGGATTCTGCTAATCTGAGGGTGAGGAGGAAGAGACATGTGACTGGGAAAGGACACAGATGGGGTTCGTAAAGTTTCTAAGAGTCAGTTCATGAATATTCATTTTATTATCCTTTCATGCTATTTTATATGCTGTTTGTCATGTCTGATATATTTTACAGTAAAACCTAATATATAAAGGCGTCCTTAGAGGGAATTTTAAGGGATCAGTGCATAGTGTGGTTTGGTTATTCCAAAGAATGCTGGAGAGAGGAATCTGAAATACTTTTCCTTTTTAGGTTCCCCTCCCATTACTTGCCTCAAATATTCTTTCTTTGGAAACTCACTGGGCCCCATGAACGAGTGACACATTTAAAGTAGCCTGTCAATGCTTGAATGACATTCCTTTTGTTCTTCTTGTTCCCTGAGTGAGCTACTTACGCTCCTCTGGGTACAGCAGAATATTCCACACGCTGTACATTTGTGCAGGCACTGACAAAGTCTGCAGTGTCTTTCCTTGCCTTTTGCTGTGTGACAAAATGCTACGCCTTCTTTAAGCTTTCAAATACCCCATTTTCTCTGAAAACTTTCCTATCTCGTGCCTTTGTACCTCTTCTTCTTTAAGAATTAGTTATCCCTGCCTCCTTGTGCCTGTGGCACTTTGGAGGTAATTCCACTTAAAAAAATACAATTAGTTGTTTAAATACATGCACCTTTCCACCTCCTTTGCAGCCTGGTTGCCAGTGATGTAGAGCAGAAACCTGACTCTACCCACGTTTGTTTTCCTGCAACATGGCGCAGAGAGTGCCACATGGTATTTGGTGAAAGAAAGAGTGACTCTCAGAGTGACTGTTGGTACTGAGGTATTCAGGGGATGAACGAAGTCAAGAGGAGTGAGATCATGGCCATTTTTAGTGGACCATGTATACGTTATGATGCTTTATTCAGTAAGCATCAGGGAACTACATACAGTTTTGAGCAGTGTTTCATGAACTGGAGGTGAGAGACCAGTTAAGAGGCAATTATAATAATACAGCTAGAGGCACTAGAGTCTGATAGCAATGACAACAAAGATAAAACCAGAAATAAAACATGGTGCTTCTCAGATTTTAATGTGCATCCCCATCACCTGTAAATCTTATTAAAATGCAGATGCGAACTCAGTGGGTATGGGGTGAGGAGGTGGAGAGAGAAATTTTGGAAGGAGCTTGTGGTTGCTGCTAGAGACTTACACTCTCCAATATGGTAGCCTTCAGTCAGATAATGGCTGAGCACTCTGCACTTAGTGCAGCTGAGAGACTGAATTTTTACTTTAATCTCATTTTAAGTAGTATAAATTTATACTTAATAGATGAAGTACTACACACTATTTCTCCATCAAGTGAAACTTTTATGTTCTGGTGGGCTGACATTTCACCTTAATTATTCAAGTTCAGCATCTGAGTTACTGTAAGTATCAAATACACACAGAATTCAGACCAAACAGGAATGGAAAACACCCCACTGATTATTTTTGTGTTGAAATAGCATTTTGGATCTAACACATTAAATAAAATATACTATTTAAGATTGCTCACAGTTATTTATTTTTTCCTTTTTAAGATGTGTTTTACACTGTGTTTCTAGCAGAGAGCAGTGCTTTGGACTCCTGCTGTGAGAAATCAAGGGTCAGTTGTACTTAGAACTTTACCTGCAACCTTTGTAGACTGGTGGAAGTCACACTGGCCCATCGCACACGTGTACTGTTGTTGAGTTTCACAATTTTACCACAAAGATGCTCAGTTGATTAAAAGCTTCTAATTATTGTTAATCTCAGACTTTGCAAAACAGTTTTGCAACAAGTTGTCCTCACTCAGCAAGCAATAAAATATTTTAAATGGAATATGGACCTCAGTTATTCATGGATGAATATACAAGAAGACCTAAGATTAAAAATCTTGTCTTTTAATATTTCTGTATGACTGTTTCTGTAAATACTGCTTCCTCTAGAGAAAACTCTTGCTTTTCTTGTTTACCAAATTGACCCTTTGGGGACTATCTTACATTGTGGAAACCCAGGGATATTGCATCACCCATGATATACCAACTCCAAACACAGGACCCATTTTGCAAAGGGAATATTACCTGGGAAACCCTAATCGCATAGGAGTTGACTGGTTACATGACATCCATCTCTAATCTTTTAAGCATCCTCAGATAGTGACCACTGGACAAGGTTTATCCAGCTAATTAGGGTTCTTTTGATTAAAGCACAATTCGGTTCAATAGTCACTAAAATCAGTCCATATACTGGGGAAGTCCATTCATTTACTGCATTTGACATTTATTTGTGGGAGAGCTGTAGGCCAGCCGTGGCTCAAGTCATCAGAAATTTGGTAGTAAAAGTAAAGTTCTTAATATTCGCAAGTTTACGTTCTAGAGCATTCTGAAGACAAACATAAAAAGTGAGAAACCCTTGGGGAGTTTTGAGCAGAGGAGTGACATATTCAAGTTTTGCCACAGTCTGTTCACATGTGTGTTCTCGTTCATAGAAGGCAGACGGATGAAAAAAACATTCAGTGTTAGAGTTACCTTATCTTAATTTAAAAAATCCATCTCGGATTTATTCCACCCACACCATTGGTCTATTTCTATGCTGTCTGTTCAGCAAAGTGCCATTTTCCCTTATTCTTGTTTCTCTAGTAATTTCTTTGCATATTTTGACACTTTACTAGCCATCAAAGAACAAGGCAGTGCTTACAGTGTGCAACCATGTGTTGTATTCTCACAAATCACCAAGAGTAGATTTTAAGTACTCTCGCCACAAAGAAGTGAGTATGTGAGGTAATGCATATGTTAATTAGCTCATTTGAGCTGGCTTATTTCACAATGTATACATATTTCAAAAGAACATATTGTGTACATCAATGTAAATGACTTTTTTCTTTGTTCATCAATTAAAAATAAAAATTTTTTAATTATCATTTTGTTTTTAAATAGATTATACCTTTTTCAATATAAGACCAACTACATTATCTTAGTGCATTAGTTCCCTGGAGTATTGCATCTGATGTTTATATGGTAAAGTGAGAAACAAAAGTAGGTACAAGTCTAACATCATATAATGAAAACTTTAAAACATTAATAGTGGTTATCTTTAAAACATGGGACTACATTTCACTTGTGCCCATAACTTTTTTATTCCATGTATTGTTTCTCTACTGAGATGTCTAAATATTTTGACAAAGCAACCATAGAAGCTACTTTGTGCCCTCATTTTCTCTGGGTCACACTCTAGATTCTTTAATCACTTGGAGCCCAAGTTCGGTTGTGCTCCTGGTAGCAAGAACACAAAACAATGGTTGAAATAAGACAGTGGTTGGCATGAAGAACCTCCTTGCACCTCAGTGGAGGCTTTCCAGCTCTAGGGCACTGTCTTCATCTGCATGATCTAGTATGTGTCAGTTGACAAGAGGGACAGATGGAAAGAGGGGGAAAAGAGCACCCTTCTCTTCAAATGCTGGATCTTAAAAGGTGCAAAAGTTCCCCTCACAGCGTGTTGATGCAACTCAATCAGAGTCTAGCAAAATCTTCTCTTACACCGCATCTGTACCCTGACTTAATGCAATTGGAATAAAGTAGTTACAGTGACATCTCACTTCAAATCTATGACACTACCTCAAACGGCCCCGAACGCTTCTTCAACATCATATTCATTGCCCTGTCCCACCCACCTTCCTAATTTTCTAGAAAAGTCTCATATTTCTTCTTTCTCTTCAGGCCTCCACTACCTACTCCCCCAGCCTCACTCTCAACCCATGACTGTGCTTCCATTTCAGGGAGAAGTAAAAACCGTAAGAACAGAGCTTCCAGGCAGTCCACGCTCAGTGGAAAGCCTAACCCTCCGGGCTAAGGGCCTCCCCTCTGTGATCCGCCCTGTTGTAGAGCTGCATCTGTCCATGCTTCAGTGAAAGGCAGCCCCTGTGCTTGGCTACTGATCCCATCCCCTCTCGTCTACTGTCACATGTCTTATCATCACCCCCCTTCCCTGAATCATATCCAGCAGTACACAAGAATGCTATTTTTCTCCCATCTTAAAAGAACAATGAAAACCTCTCTCTTGAGCCCACCCTCACTCTTGTCCACTCTGCTTTTCTACTCTCTCTTGTAGCAACACTCCTAGAAAGAGCTGTCCCTAAATCTCCCGTGATATCTCCGGGATCCACTCCACCCACATCACCGAAGTGATGTGGTGATGAGATCCATCCCCATCGCCAACTTGAAACACATCCCTACTTAGTCTCTGCACCTGGATTACTCTTGCTTTGCCAGCTAATTCAGCTCAGCCTCCATTCCTGGCTTCTACACCTGCCTGGGCTGAGCATCCTCAGGCCAGAACTGTGTGCATGTTCCTGGTTGTCATCTTCATATTAATTCTTAGTACAGTTCTTGGTCCAGTGGATTTTCTCTCTAATTGCAAATCTCCTACATGTACAATATGGAACAATTGAGAAAACATGGAGGAGCACAAAGGAGTAAGGCAGGAAGGAAATTGTTGAAGATTCCATTTCCCAAGTATTACCATTTTTGACATTCAGTTCTTGCTTTCCAGTCTTTATGTATGTACAGAGCACATGTCTATTTCACTACATGTTCATATATGTAAACTTGTAATACATACACAGTGCTGTATATGCAAGTATATTGGAGCACAGATGTTGGCATTCTATTACAGAAAACTGTGTGATACTTAGAAACATATACCTTTATTTTTCTTTGCAGACAACCAATTAATTAACTGCAGAAACCACATCTCGGAGTTTAAGGAGACTATACTACGTTTAAAAAACAAAAGTGAAGCTAATCTCAAAGATCTAATGAAAGCATTGAGTTACATGAAGTATGAAATTACACTGAGAGGAGATTCATCAGAAAACTTAGGTTTGTGTTGCTTTTTGGTTTTGTGTGTGGTGCTTTGTTTCTTTTATGTAAGTTTTGTAAATTGAGATTTAAAACCTCTCGTTTTCAGGCATTTCCTCTCAATAAACATAATGCAACCAGTGCTGGTTCTTTCTTTGTGAGACATGCAAAAATCAGATAAGACATGCTTCTCTCATCTCTACCTTGACAGTGGTCTTCCTAAGTTTTTTTTTTTTTTCTGAATTGAACCACCCCCCAATAGATGTAGCCAGAAACCTGGGCATCACCTCTGACCCCTCTTCTCCCTCTGTTGCTGTGGTACTGCTTTTTCTAGGATGTCATAGGAATGGAATTAGTCAATGTGTGATCTTGAGTCTGACTTCTTTCACGTCTTCCTTTTTTTTTTTTTTTTTGGCAGTACTGGGATTTGAGCTCAGGATTTCATGCTTGCAAGGCAGGCACTCTACCACTTGAGCCACTCTGCCAAGCCCACCTGTTCTTTTTTTGATCACAGGCTGGAATTTCTTTGTATGGAGGCACAATGGATCGAGTTTGTCTATCCTTTCACCAATTGAGAACACTTGGGTTGCTTTCATTTTTTGGCAATTACAAATAAATGTTTTATGTACATGTTTTGGATATGAGGAGACATTTTCATTTTTTTTTTTTTAGGATTTCTACTAGCAGTCAGATTAATAGGGCATGTGGCAAATATATGGTTGGCTTTATAAGACCCTACCAGACTGTTTTCCAGAGTGAATGTGCCATTTCGCACTTTCTGCAGTGATGTAGGACAGTTTCAGTCACCGTCACCCCAGCTCATTGTATTTCCCTGCTGACTAATGATGTTGGATTTTTTTTTTGGTGACACTAGCGTTTGAGTTCAGGGCTTTGCACTTGCTAAGAAGGCACTCAACCACTTGAGCCATGCCCCAGTCTTTTTTGATTTAGGTTGTTTTTTAGATAGGGTCTCGTGTTTCTGCCCAGGCTGGCCTGGACCATGACCTACCCACCTACAACTTCCAAAATAGCTGGGACCACAGATGCATGCTACCACTCCTGACTTATTTGTTGAGATGGGGTTTTGTTAACTTTTTGCCCTGGCTGGTCTCAAACCAGGCCGGCTTTGAACCTTAGTCCATCCCAACCTCTACCTCCTGAGTAACTGGGATTACAGATGTGAGTTACTACTCCCAGGCTGATGTTGAACATTTTAATGTGTTTATTTACCATCTAGAGGTCTCCTTTGGAGAAAGGTCAGTTCAAATCTTCAGCCATTTTTAAATTGGGTGGTTTGTCTTACTGAGTTTTCAGAGTTCTATATATTATCCTAGATACAAATCAGATGGATTCATAATTTAAAAATATTTTCTGCCAGTTCCTGGCGTATTGTTTCATTTTCTTTCTTTCTTTTTTGGCAGTATTAGGAGTTAAATTGCTCTTGCCACACAGGCACTTTTCCACAGCCCTTTGTGCTTTTGTTATTTTTTTCTTATAAAGTCTCACTCTTCTCCCCTTGCTGGCCTGAATTGTGACCCTCCTATTTACGCTTGCTGGGGAGCTGGGATGACAGGCCCTCACCACCACACCCAGCTTTTCTTATTTGTTGAGATGGGATCTCGTGTACTTTTTGCCCAGGCTGGTTTCAAACCGTAATGCTCCCGATCTCTGTCTAACAAGTAGCTGGGATTACAGGCGTGGATCTCAGCACCTGGCAATCATTTTCTTTGTGATGTTCTTCAGAGGGTAAACATTTTTAATTTGGGATGAAATCTACATCATCAATTTTTCTTCTAGTTATTGTTTTATGTATGGTTATAGTGTATCTAAGACCTTTTTAATTGAATCAGGGTCATGAAGATTTTCCTTTGGTTTTAAAATTTCATAGTTTGTTTTAAATTTATGTTTATGAAATCGTTGAATTAATTTTTATAAACAGCATGAAGCACAGGCAGGTTCAAATTTTTTTTCCACACAAGTGCCCTTGTGTTCAGCAAATGGAACACCATCTTTTCCACTGTGTTTCTGCATTGATTGCCTTCGTATCTTTCTCAAACATTAATCCCATATATGTGGGGACCTATTTCTGTTTTTTCTAGTCTCACTGGCAGAGTGGCTCAAGTGGTAGAGTGCCTGTTCTAGCAAGCGTGAGGCCCTGAGTTCAAAGTCCAGTACCACCAGAAAAGAACTTCTGTTTTCTCTGGTGTGCTCCATTGGTCTGTGTATCTATTTTTATGTAATGCCACATTGTTTTGGTTGCTGCATTGGGTATTATAGTTAAAATAGGATGGTATGAAATCCTCCAAGTTGGTTTTTGTTTTTGAAATTGTAGAAGGAAATTCTAATGAATGGTACAAATCAAGCCATTAAATGTTAAGAGGCTACAAAAGCAAGTTTGAAGATAGAAACTTTAATAAGTAATATTAATCAAGGTAGAGAGAAAACGCTTCAGTTATGCTTTTTTCATGTGGAAAGGACAGTTGAGTTGGCCTCTGGTATAACTCACAATGCTAGTCTTACATTAAGCATTGCTTTAAAATAAATATTAATCAGTCATGTGCAAGCTATACTTCATAGTATTATGATTGTGATAATTCACATTTAAGAGTGTATTTCTCCTCCACTATATGCAAGTGTGGAACTATCACAACGAAACTCCTATGTACAATTAATATATGCTAATAAAAAGAATATATTCCTCTTGAATACAAAATTAGTCTGTGGATGAATTCATTAACCATCATTTAAGAAATTGCATCAGAGCGAAAGAAAATCCCATAGTTGTAAACTCAGAGGCCTTAATTTTTTTCTCTTTCAGTTGCAAAGAAAGTGGATACACTGAGTGAGAATGAAGCCATACCTGACAGATTTGAAGACATAAAGTTCTTCCTTCCACATCTAAGGAAAGTTGAAAGAATTTATCCTCACGTAATCATTGGCAAACAGAGAACAGGAGGTACAAATGCTTCAAATTGAAAAATTGATCTTTGGGAGTATACGTTTTATGTTTCAAAGTGTAATCCACTAACATCATTCCCCAATGGATATGTAGACCACTAGCATGAATTTGAGCTACCAGAAGTCAGTAGACTGTCTGGCAGAAAATAATAGCTCCACAAATGTTTAGTGGATGAAATCAAATTCAATTTTACTGCAGATGCTTTGAAAATAAGTCAATAGGAGTCAAGTGTACTTACGCTAAGTGCTTGAAGAATCTTTTTTCTCCTGGATTTAGATTAATCTATTCTTACCAGGTTATTTTCCTATTTCCCCATCTTTCTTGGGGCTAAGGTCAGCAAACGATTTACAGAAGAAGGGTGCTTGAGTTCAGCCTGGAAGCGTGTAAATCTTAAGCAGGTGTGCAAGACAAGAGAGAACCCTGGCATTTGAAGCAAGGATTTTAGGTCAAGTCTCAGACTGTCTAATATCTGCATAAACCTCATACATTCCAGTGAGCAAAGGACTCTGGGTCAGGCCTGTGGGCTGCCCGGTTTTGCATATGGCTTCTGTGCTATAGCAGCAGAGTTGAATAGCTGTGATAGAGACCCTCTTGTGTGACCTAAGAGTCAAAAATATTTACCATCTGACCCTTTACAGAAAAAGTATGCCACTAGGCTCTCTCTCTGTAGTGTTCTCTGTCACGTGCCTCCAAGCTATTACCCAAGCCTGTTGTGTTAGGATGGGGTGCTCATGACATGTTAACCATCTGCTGGATTCTTATTGCTTTTCCTGGACTGAGCTCTAGGTGTTCTTTTCTTATCTCATGTAATCCTCAGAACCCAAGGGAGTTTTTGAGTTCACCCTGTAAATGTCTTTCATTGCATCAGATTCCCCTGCAAGTGCTTTGAACACAGTATTCAGATATGTTGGTGGACGTGCATAAACGTGTGTGTGTGAGCATGAGTAATGAAAGAGTACATACTGGATGAAAGCTAGAGTTTACAGGCAGCATGACAACAGAAAAATAAATACCTAAAAACCATAAGATATTAGATACCAAGACTAAATATAGCCTTCAATAAGCATCAGCCAATATAAGCAGAAACCCATGTCAGAGTGAAAGGAAGAAAGGAGAGAGATGATGGGACTAGAAGAGCAACAGAACTCCTTTGGAAGAGGTTTGGAGTGTTAAGATAACCCAGTTATCAGAGCTGTGTCAAATCTAGACTAATTTCTCAATTCTTCAACTATGTCCTGATCACAAAACATGCTGTATACACAAATCCTTCTTTTGAGGTCCTTCTGGTGCCTTTTCTGAATTAGCAAAGACAACATAAAGGAGTTTTTTAATGAGCCTAAGACATGACATCTATGCAGAAGCCTATGGCATGTCCTAACAGAGACTCCATTATCAATCTCATTTACTCCATGTTCTAAGTATATCTCACATCATTTCTGTTATTTGTAGCTTCTTCCCCATAAGTATTTTTTATTGAGTCTACCAAGATTTCTTGCCCGGCTCATTGAAGTGAATTTGTAATTTTTCTCTTGGATTTTGTATTACTAGAGTCAATCCATTCTCTATTCATTCCTCAGCAATATGTTACTAAAATTCCTAACTGCAACTAAGTTTTCTAACTAAAATTGACTCTTGCCTCACTAGTTCCTTGGTGCACCTAAAATGAAGTTAGCTCATCAACAGGGCATATGTACAACAGGATTTTGCGTGTACTGCTCACTGCCTCACATGGACCGAACATACTCGTTCCTGCCACTCCTCAGCTCCATTTGTAATGTGACTCCCTTATCCGATATGACATCACAACTTAAATGACAATGTTTTTGGGAAGTCTTTCATGTCCCCTCAGTTAGCAAGCTTCTTTGTTCTGGGCACTCATTGGGCCATGACAAGACATGGAGCTCTCCGAGACAGAGACAAATGATAAGGTCATAATAGTGTAAAATGATTATACTGCCACATGGAAAATGCCAGAGTGGGGCAAGCAACCAGCTCTAAGGAAATTTTTCTGGAGGAAGTGGAACCTAAGTGACATGAGAGTAAAAAGAATTAGAATAGACTAAATAGGGAAAAGATAGGAATAGTAGATAGTGAAGAAGTAGAAGTTGGTCATCCAGGTCTCTAACAGCAAGAAATCTACTAAAAATAGCTTGTGGCTTGCATGCACAATTGAGGCTAGTTTATCAGTTGCAAATTAAAGAGCAGAGGCCAAACAGAGAAGACTCTGACCCTTCACTTATTCGCTCCAAGTTTATTGACACTACTTTGTGTCAGTCATTACGTGAGTGTTGGATTTATGATAGTGACCATGAGAAGCAGTGTTTGTCCTCACCGAACTGAGCCCAGCTGGGAATGGGTAACCAACAAAAGGGTGATGGGTACCATGGAAGATGAAGGCAGAATACATTCCTAAGGAGAAAGAGGCAAAGGTGAATTTGTCATCAAAATGATTACTCAGTTGAACGCTGAAGCATGAGTAAAAGTGGCACGGAGGAAGAAGCATGCTCTAGTCCAAAAGAGAGGACAAGTGCAAAGGCTTGGAGGTGAGGGAGTGGTGTTTGGTCAGTTTGAGAAAGCAGGTAGTTGAAACGGAAGAGACAGATCAAGACTAGGTCATAAGGGCCTCATAAACTCTAGAAAATGCACTGTTTTTAATCCAGAAGCATGAAAAGCCATTTCAGGAGTTCCATTTATTGTGGAACTTGAAACTTGATTCCTGACTTACACTACCCATAAAAATTAATTTCAGGTGAATCATAGGTTCTTATGAAATACAGGGCCGAGAGAAGTGGCATATGCTGAAATCCCAGCTACGCAGGATGTATAGTTAAGGGGATCATGGTCCAAGGCTGGCCAGCATAAAAACCAATCTGAAAAATAATTAAAGTAAAAAAAGAATCGGGAGTATGGCTCAAGTGGTAGAGCACCTGCCTTGCAGGCACAGGTCATGAGTTCAAAACCCCATACTGCTTAAATACATATACACACACATAACCTACATACACATATACATACATACATGCCACAAACAATGGGCTTCTAGAAGATAACCCAGGGCAATATCCTTATGACCTGAAGATTAGGCAGAGTTCTCAAAAAGACTCAAAAAGGAAACAATTGATGCATTGCACTACATTAAAATCAAGAATTTCTGTTTGTCAAGAGGCAAAACATTGAAAAGGGAACCTAGAGACAGATGTTTATATTGCATATTGCTAAAAAGCTCATACTCCGAATATATAAAGACCATTATCAATAGATCAATTTTGAAACTGCAAACAATTGAGTAGAGAAACAGAAAAAAGCTTCAACAGAGAAATCACTAAGGACAACACATATAAGAAAATGTCAAAATCACTGGAAATTGGTAAATTACTAGTTCTTATTGCTATTTCCAAAGTGTAGTAGTTTTTCTTAAACAAATCTCAGTTGTTGCATACCATAGGCCTACAATAATTGTTTTGACACTTTCTTTTTCAATTTTACTACTGCTTTGTAGGAAGAGTGTTTTCTAAGTTCTTTGCTTAGGCATTCTGGAAGTTTTTGCTCCATCTTAGAGGTGGGGAAACCAAGAGAGTAGGAAACAGTGTATCTTGCCTATGTGTCACAGCCAGGCACTGGAGCGGCAATGATTGAGTCTGGACAGACTTTCCCAGTAGAAGCTTCCTCTTCTCCTCAGTGCTTCACTCATCACTGGGCAACAGAAGACATCCAAGGACTGGATTTATTCCTTCGAACCATTTAGAAAATAGTTTATGAATTTTTTCCACAGATGAAAACACTTCATGGTGCCTTTCCTGTTTGGGGTTCCAGCATCTCTTTAGGAAAAAGGAGCAAATCAGCCATTGTGGGACAATGAATTGATAGAGGAAAACTATAATAAATGCAAAGTGGCTAGTTTTATTTCCACTACACCAAACTCCTCCAACATAAGAACACTGTGGTTTATTTAATGCATTTGCTAACAGTCCACTGCACTTGAAAAATGTGGTATAGATGAACATAGTTTGGATTATTTTTGTAATACAGTTCTAAGCACTCTTTTATAACCGTAAGACTAACCCAAAACATAGGAAAAAGCATAGAATTAGTGTGACATTATGTTGGGTTCTGTGGTTTGAAATGATGCTTCACACTCCTGTGTTTCCAGTTTCCTTTGCGCTGGGGATCCCCACCACAAACAGAGGAAACCACACTTACCTGAAGCAAACTCTGACCTCCCTTCTCTCCAGGATGACACCTGCAGAAGAGGAGGACTCGGTGGTGATTGTTGCTATCGCAGAGGTACGCATGAAAGAGAAGTTCTTGTTACTCTCTCCCTGTGTCAGAATCCCCATCAATGGCAATTACTATATCATTTTGAAATTTTTGTCCTAAATTAGGAAAAGCTATCTATAAATACCTTTCTTGGGATTGCAGATAATCTTTTTAGTATTTGTTTGGCACTACAAGAATTAAATGTGTAAATTTACAGAGAAAACATAATGGCTTAATGTGGGAAACACAAGATTGCTAAATTTGAATTGCATTCAATAGAGAATCCTTGCATACTATAGGAGACAACAATTTTATTTACAAACAGAGCACTAAACTTTATGTTATAGTGATAAAAGCTGCTTAGCCCAATGAAAGGTTGGTATATCAATCCAGAGATAATTTCTATTAAGTAACAATAACTACTACCATCAACTGAGGGACTCCTTCCTATACCCACGAGTCTGTAGATGGTTTTTCTAGACATTATTTACAACTTATATTATGTCTCTGAAAAGTAAGTTTCACTGTCCTGATTTCACACCTGAAGGAGTGGATCTTAAAAGAAAGTAACTTACCCTGTAATTAATAGCTTCAGATCTAGCTCTAACGACTACTCCATGATGGTAATCACTATAATTTCTGAAAATTTGAGTAAAATTATAAAGTACTGTATAAACAGCATAAACCTACTGGAGAGAAATTTGGCGACATGTATCACATTTAAAATGTAGATCTCTTTTGTCCCAGAAATGCAAGTTCTGGATTTAATCAGACAATAGTCAAGCAAGGGTTTAACCACAATAAAAACAGCACAGTAGAGCAGGACAGTTGAAAATGTAGCCTCTGGATCTATATTAGCAAGACTCAAATGCCAGCTTCTCCATTTTCTGGCTTGTGACCGTGGGCAGCTTGCAAAGCTTCTCTGTGCCTCACACTTTCCTTATCTGAGACAGTGATGATAGTATTGTCTATGTCATAGAAGTGTTTGGGGATGACATTAGCTACTATACTTTATTCACCTGTACTTAGAATGGTGAATAACACAGAGCATATGTTCAATGAGTAGTTATTTCAGGGATTTTCAGTGCACTATTGCTTTAAAAGCTGATTAAATACTTTATTTATAATGCAATAACCAGTAGCTATTGAAAGAATGATTATCTCTTCATATTGGTATAAAATCATATCCATTTATTGTTCAGTGAAAAAAGTTAACATAATGTTAACTATGGAAAATGACAAGGAAGGGAGGGAGGAAGGGAGAAAAGATGTACAGACAGATGAAATGTATAAAGAGAAAAAAGGAGACTCAGCAAACCTTAGATCACTAGTCAGCTCTATTGCTGTGACAAAATACCTAAGAAAAACAGCACAAAGAATGGATGGTTGTTTTGGCTCAGTTTCAGTATATGGTCAGTTGGCTCCATTGCTTTTGGGCATATGGAAAGGAAGAGCACAGTGAAGGAAAGCTCCTCATCGAAGGCTGGCTGGGAAGCAAAGACAGAGATGGGAAGGACCAGGGTCCCAATAACCCCTTCAAGGGTTCACTTCTAATGACCTAATTTTCTTCAGGGGGCCCTGCCTCTTAAAAGTTCCACCACCTCCCAGTAGCTCCACAGGCTCACACCCAAGTGTTCATCCCATGAATCTTTGGAGGACAATCAAAATCCAACAATAGCATTTGGAATAATGGTTTCCAAAATATAAATAATGGTGACTGAATGCTGGAAGGTAGAGGAGTCTGTTATCCTTTATTATTTATTGCTTGAATTTCTTATCATACAGACGTATTTGAATAGGGAAACATAAAAAACCTCTAAACAAAATTTGCAATAGGATAACTATTAGAAAAATACAATAAAAGATTAAATGATCTTTCCAGTTCATTGCAATTTCATTTTTTAATACTGAAAGCATACACATAATTTCCAAGATGTTTTGACATGTTTACAAGGTGCAATGCACACCTGTGTAAAATGTTGAGACACAAAAGATATCAGGAAACAAATTTTTAAAATAGAATATGGAGGACTTAAATTAACTTTAGTGCTGTGTTTAAAATATGTCTTTAAATTACAAAATAACCATTCACGGTTACCTTAAGAATTTTAGGTAATTATTTTACCTACATTATGTCTGATATTTTAAATAAACATCCTGATTATACACACTCAGAGTTGCTTTTCAGAGTTTCCAGCTTTGAAAATAGCACTGTCATTCTTCAAGATACTTTCAGAATTTTATATTGGAGATAACTAATGGACTCTGAGATCACATCAGGTAAATGACATCAACTATTTTAAAAATTCATCCCGTGAGGGTCAACCATCAGAAGCTTTTTGCAAATCAGTCTGCCATCTAGTATAGCACACTATTTGATGCTCAAAGAGCAGGTCCATGAAGTTCCTTGACAGAAGAAAACTTGGGAATGACCATCTGGTCATCTGGGTACAACTGTGCAATAAATTTATTCATTTTGAAGGTGTTTTCCCAAAGACTAATTCTTTAAAATAAGCCATTCTATGACAACCTTTTTTAGAGTGAAGCATTTTTAGATAAGATTTTGTATACTAATTTTAAACATATCAATGGATAATAATATTTCATATTACAGCAAAGGGAGAAGAATGAGATATTTTCTGTATTCAAGTAAGATTTTTTAAGTACATGGATATTTTTAATTCTCTTATAGAAATGAAAACACCAGAAATTATTAGGACATGATGACATTCCACACATAAATTGCATGCAGTAAAAATGTTGTATTACAAAAACTATGAAGAATGCTGAGTTTCAGTAAATTTTTTTTCATTTTTAGAGTAATGAAGAGTATTTAAATTCTGTTGTTGACATGATTAAGAAAAAGTAAGTACTGTCTGATAAATTTCAAAGTTAGCATCCTTTCATTTTGCTCTTCCTTTTTTCTGTCCAATTGCATTATTATGTATTAATAATTACATTCTTTTTAGTGAGTGGAGCCATGCAGAGTGAACCCATAGTTCTTTCTAAACTGCAATGCAGGATAGCTTATGAGTCTCCCCAGTTTTGCAGGTTATTTATTTATGTCAATTCATATTTTTCAAGTTATAGCTGTTAAAATACCTTCATGAAATCACCCCTGAGAGAAACCTATTAAGTCACGTTTAAAACACTCTTGCCTTCCCTACTGCATAAAGTTACCTCACCTCCTTTACTTCCAGCTGCTGTGAGTGGCCAGAGCTCCTGTGACTGCATCAATACAAAGTGATCTGTCAGGAGGGATCTATGGAATAGGCCCAGGCTTCCAAATTCTCACATTAAAGTGGGTAACAGAAGTTGTCCAAAACACATCACAGCAAGGGGGCTATTGTCACCATACCCGAAAAGGCTAAATTTTTGGAAGTTTAAGTAACTTCAGAACACGGATGTTTGACGGTAAGCAGGAAGGATTGGTGGGAGACAGACAGACCCAGTCATCAAGAAGGGCTTCTGTACCAAGCTAAGGAACTCATACTTTGTGCTCTGGACTAGAACAGTGATGGTGTCCTTCAAGCTGAGCCCAGCTCATAGATGTTTTTCCAGCAAAAGGTGTTCTGTGTTTCCTGACTAAGAAGCTGCAGTGGACCAGACAGTTATTCTAGAAGAAAGAATTTCAGCTAACTGCGTAATAAATAGAATTAGAAAATCCCCACCTTGAAACATAACTGATTGAGTTTTTAGGGTGAACAGCCCTAGCCCTGGGAATCCCAATTGAACTGGGCTTGACCACCTGTCCCCAATATGCTAACTGAAGAGACCAGTAATGGTGAACAGAGAGAAAGGAGATTCAACCAAATGTGGCTGCATTGGGAAGACAAAGAATTCAGTGACCCCAAGATTGGTTTTGGGCTACTGACATGAAGTTTAGGTTTAAATAGAAGAATTTGGATACAGGGCAAGTAGTATGAGGAATTAAGTATTTCTGTCAAAGATGCAGTCCAGTTGACCATCATCCCAGGATGGCTGGTGACATGAGTTTGTGGTAAGAAAAGGCATTGTTGTCCCAGGGGTAACTTTGGCTTTTGTCACAGATGTGTATTCAATAATCCTGTATTTCCTGAAGTCCCAAGGTAACTTTGGGGAGCAGACTCAGGAGGGAAAAAAGGTTAAGCAACCTAGGGGACAAAACGGAATTAGTGAGGCAGGTTCTCCCTCAATACTAGGAAGGGTAGGTTGGTGGAGAAGTTTACAAGGAAGGTGAGTGGTTCAGCAGCCAAGCAGGAAAACCCTTTGTGGTTCACAGAGAGGGAGTTTACTACAGAGAATTGATCCAAACAGATTTGAAAAGGCAGAGAGAACAAAAGAAAGAAGAAAGGGGACCAGAGAAGTACAAGAAGTTAGACCTTGGGCTGCTTCTGCTGCTACACCTGAGCACAGTGGCTCTTGCCAGTGCTGATGTCCCTGCTGCTGCTGGAGATGACATCAGGCTCCACAGGAAGAAGATCGTCTTCCTCTTCTCTGCCTCCCAGTCTCTTGTCACCGAACACTTCACTGGGGCAGAGGCTAAGTACTAGCTGGCTAGAAAGGGAAGCTGACTTGCAGACTGCGATCTGCCCAGGAGCTACAGGGTGGCAGGAGTGTGAGGCTGTGGACTCAGAGCTAACAGACAGCAGGCAGGAAGCAGAAAGGTTGGCTACCTGCAACTCCAAGCAAACCCCATGTCATTAAAAAGTTGGCAATAAAGATCACACGTGTGAAATACACAAATGAAATAACTGTAGTTATTAATCAAAAAGACCCAAGTAAATAAAACAACCATGAGTTCTAATCAAGCCTTAGAAGTAAATCTCAGCTTGTAGTATACACAGCAAATAAAAAAAGCATTCTGGGATGAAAACACTAAGGTGGGGGTATTCTGTAGAACAGTTGATCCAGTTTCTTCAAAAAGACAGTAGAAGGGTAAAGATGACGGGTCTAGATGTTAAGTTAAAAAAAAGAAAGAGAACCTTATTCATATGCTGGCTGGAGACCCTGCCTCCAGCTGTAAGCACTTTTTGTTGTTGTTGTTCATTTATTCACATGTGCATAACAAAGTGTAGCCCAGGCTGGCCTCAAACTCGTGATCCTCCTGCCTCATCCTCTTCGCCTCGTTGATTACCAGCGTGCGCCACCACGACCAGCTATAAGCACTTTCTAGACCATTGGTGACATTTGAGTACCAAACCAAGCATTACGTGATATTTAGTCATTACCTTCGGTTTGTAAAGAAATGTTTATGGCCTTGTGGTTATCAAAGAGAATGTGCTTTTTAATATCATTGCTGAGAAACTTAAGGGTGAAATGACAGAGAGGGATTTGTTTTAAAATACTTCAGCAAAATTTTGTCAAGGTAGAACTGCAAAGGCGATAGAAAAGTGGCAGGAAATGATGGTTATTGAAAGCCAGTGATTGAGGGTTCTTCAGGTTTATATTTTTATGTATGTTTGGTAATTTTTCTAATAAAAAGGTAAAGGATTGAATGTAGGCTATTCTCCACAAGCTTAACAGACACGGAGAAAAGCCCTAATACACTCTCCCCGAGTGGGGAGGTGTTGAGGTGGGAGCTGGCTGAGTTTTGCATGTGCTCTAGGAGGTGGGGCAGGGAGACTGGAGGCATGGAACAGGTGGAGCTGCTTTAGGCAGGCCTGAGACCAAAGATAAGAACAAACGAAAAAGCAGGAAATTTAATTTGCTTGAGGAAGACAGGTAGAATCAGAGTTCCTGTTTCTCTGTTACAGAAATAAGACCCTATGGAGAGAATGGGGTTTGATGGTGGTGGAGCAACTTGACAAAGGTCTTGATGGCTTGAAGTGGGTTCTATACCAAAGAGGAAAGGAGTTGGCAAGACTAAAATACCATCTATGGCTAGCTTTCACAAAAAGTTGCCTTATACCTGATGGTTTTTTGAGGTTTTTTTAAATGCATTTAAGGATACTCCCCAGTACCCCCAGTGGTGACATTAGCCTCAAATGACTGCCATCTATGCTAGACTGACAATTGACAATGCAAAGTTCAGAAGTGTTTTAATTTGTTGTAATCTCATGTCAAATCTTGCTTTTGTTCTGAGCTATTAAACTCCTTTTCATGTGCCAGTATCTCAGAGTACTTCCCCTTTGTTTTCCTTAATAGTTTCAAAGTTGTAGGTTTGCATTAGTGTTTGACCCATTTTTTAATTGATTTTAGTACAAGGTGGGAGATAGGAGTCTAGTTTCAATATTCTACATATGAATGTCCAGTTTTATAATCACCATTTGTTGAATAGGCTGTCCTTTCTCCAACGTATGTTTTTAGCACCTTTGTTGAGAATCTGTTGACTACAGAGGCAGGGGTTCGTTTCTGGGTCCCTTTTCCACTAGTCCATGTGTCTGTTTTTGGGTCAGTACCATGCTGTCTTTGACACTCATTGTAGCTCTGTGATCTATTTTGAAAACAGGTATTGTAACACCTCTAGCATTGCTTTTTTCGTTTAGGATTGCTTTGGCTATTTGTGGTCTTTTGTATTTCCATATGAATTTTAGTATTGTTTTTATTAGTTCTGTGAAAAGCATCATTGGTATTATGATGGGGAGTGCATCGAGTCTGCTACTTTTAATTCTCTTTATCCATAAACATAGGAAGTCTTTCCAGTTGTAGTGTTTTTTCAGTGTTTTATCATTTTCACTGTAGATGTTTTTCAACTTCTTGGTTTATTCATACATTTTTTGAGGCTATTATGAGAAGTACTGTTTCCTTGATTTCTTTTTCAGCATATTATTAGTGGGTAGGGAACCTACTGATTTTCACATGTTGACTTTGATGAATTTATTTAGCACTCCAGAGTTTTATCTTGAAGGGGCATTGAATTTTATCAAAGGCTTTTTGCATCTATTGAAAGGATCATGTGATTTTTTTGCCCTTGATCCTATTTCTGTGCTGTGTTACATTTATTGGTTTGTGTATGCTGAATCATGCTTTGTGCCACTGGAATGAAACCAACTTAACTATGATATATGACCTTTTTAATGGGCTGCAGAAATCAATTTGCAAGTAGTTTTTTGAGGATTTTTAATGTCTATCTTCATCAAAAAATTGGTGAATTATTTTCTTTGTTTTGTGTCCTTACAGGTTTTGGGATCAGGTAATACTGGCTTCAGAAATGAGTTTGACAACATTCTTTCCCTTTCTGTTTAATGCATTATTTTGGGCAGCATTGCTGTTAGCTTTTTAACAGTCTGGTGGAAGTCAGCTGTGAATCTGTCTGGTCCTGGGCTTTTCTTTGGTGGGAGACTTTTTATTACAGTTTTAATCTCATTGTTTGCTATTAATCTATTTAGATTTTTTATGTTCTCCTGGTCCAGTTTTGGTGTGTCATATGCATTTAGAAATTTGCCCATTTCTTCCATATTTTCAGTTTTATTGACATATAATTTTCAAAACATTCACTAATGATCCGAAGGATGTCAGTGGTATCTGTTGTAACATTCCCTTTTTGCTTCTAATCTTATCTGGGTCCTCTCTCTTATTTATCTGTCTGGTTTTGGTGGTACTGGGATTTGAACTCAGGGAGTTATGCTTCCTAAATCCAGGCACTCTACCACTTGAGCCATCCTGACTCCCATCCCCCTTCTTCATTTTAGTTAATTTTTGTATAGGGCATTTTTGCCCAGGCTGGCATTGGACCATAATATTCCCACATAAATTGGATTACAAATGATATGAGCCACCACAACCAGCTTATTTGTTGACATGAGGTCTTGCTAACTTTTTGCCCAGGTTGACTTCAAACCATGATCCTTCCAATCTCTGCCTCCCAAGTAGCTGAGACTACAGATGTGATCCACTGTGGCTGGCTCTTCTCTTTCTTTTGGCAAGTTTGGCTAAGGTTTTGT